AACTACAACTTGGACACAGTTGTTGGATCGTGGACACGAGGCTTTAGAAAGATCCTAATTACGGATATTGGAATCGATCGAGCCGCGTCATCAAAGGGACCGAGGTATCTGTTACGTCGCTTTATCGACCCATGAGACACAATACGACGATTTGTCTTGCGGAATATAGCGCTTCAGTTAGCGCGAGCCTCGTATAATCCGATTGGCGGGACTAACGAGCGATGCGAAAAGCACGAAAATTCCGCGACGGAAAGTTTTAACGATGTAGCCGTGGGGAGTGTGCGGAACTTACGGATGAGCCGCGGATCAAAGAGGACACGCACGCGCCGAATAACACGTACGTATTACGCGCGGGCGCGTAATCGTTGGAAATCGCCGAGAAATCCCTCGGCACGACAGTTACGTAATAATAAATCTGCAAGCCTTGTTCCTGCGAGCTCGGTAAAGTTGCGAATGTGCGATGCATGAAATTTTACGTACGTCAACCGACCATGCTTTCGTACTGAGTGATTTAGGCTCGGTTTTACCGAACGTCGTTTAACTTTAATCTTAGTTTAATCCACGTTTGTCTCTTTCGAAAGTAACATTTAGAAAGAGACAAAAATTAATTAGGCTAAGCTTAAAGTTAAGCGACGCTGGTGAAACTAGGACTTGAGGCCTGTGTCCATCAACTTCTGGGAACTAGAACTTAGGTCAAGTCCTAGCACCGAAGACATAGGCCTTAAGGCCTGGTTTCACCATCGTCGCTTAACTTTAAGCTTAGTTCAATCTACGTTTGTCTCTTTTTAAGTGACATTTAGAAAGAGACAAAAATGAATTAAGCTAAGCTTAAAGTTAAGCGACGTTGGTAAAGCCAGGCCTTAAGACCTGTGTCCACGAACTTGGTCCAGGTTCTAGTTCCGAGAATGTGGACCAAGTTCTAACATCGTGGACATAGGCATTAAGAACGATACGTTGCAGAGTAGTTTAAAGCATTTTCTTCCGTCCGGACAGTAAAGGGTGCATTTATTAAAATTGTTTGAAACGACAATCAACGACAATAAGAATTTCCCCGATATCCGCTCGATACCAGTCTCTATTGACATTACAAAGACCTCCATGCATAATGTCTTTTCAAAGAGCTGCAGAAGCGCCGTTTCCGCTTTAATCGGCTAGAAAGTGACCAATTTGTTCCGCTGCTAAGCGACTTTTAATATTTTACAGTAGAGCGCGGCAAATCGCTCTCGAGAAAGGGAGACCCCTTACGTCCAGTCGTACTCCTCTCGCGGAGGAAAGGCGGCAGGAGGGGCACAAGTGTGTTTCAATCGCGAAGGAGAAATTCGAAAAGCACTGCGGCGCGCGGCTGGCGACTCTTTCCCGTATCGATCGCGTCTCGATCGTCCTACTTTTCCCCGCGGGCTCGGTCTAGACGAGTAAATTGCGTTGTCGACGCGCGTTTAATTGCGCGCTCAGCCCCGGATCAGCGTTGGTCAAATTCGCAATCGAGTCCGTATGATACGATTGATAAAATAACGGACCGCTCGTTCGGATGTTCGTTTAAATAGAACGCCAAGCTAAATGGCGGATATCGAAGGAATCCTCTGACTCGGTCTATTTCGTTTCGAGGCACATTATAAGCTTCTTTTCTTTCTGGTGCCGTACGATTGCGATCCTTTCGCAAAAGTGTACTTTTAGTTTGTCTCGTTGACACTGTACAAGTTCTACAGCGTACGGTTGTTTGAGGACAAAGTTGTAAAGGGCAGCAGATACTCGAAAATGAATTCTAAAACAAATTATGCGACTCTTGAATAAATAGGAAACGATCAAAGTCCCGGAGTAGCAAGTTTTGTTAAAGCAAATATGCCGATGCGTAAGGAAGTTTATTCAAAGATAGATATCAAGAATGCAAGCCTTGCGCTAATCATCTCTGACAATTGTCGTTTTTTACTTAGACAAGAGACCATGCAATTTTTCTTCGTGCTTTCGTATAGCGGAAAATTTCGCGCCAACGACAACGGGTGGACGGACGTAGATGAGGTGACAATTCTTGCGATTGCCGCACGTTAAGGATAACGGAGTGTCCCCGTATGGGCACCACCGGGTGCGTGTGGCTAACATGTTTCTCTCGTTTCATGTGTCATGATGTGCCGATTTTTGTCGCGATATTTTATACCTTTCCCACGTGTGTCGAGTAGTGGACGCCCTGTGTGTTTTGTAAAGAGAACAAGCTAGAGAAACAAACAGCTAGAATCCACAACCGGCGTATCGACAACAGTTTCGTAATCGTGGCTTTAGAGTTCTTTAAATTCGACCGTGCTGCATATTGTAAATGGCAAGAAAAAAAAAACCGAGGCGCGACTGACCGGAAGCGGATATTCGCTCCCCTTCGGCGCGTGTATCGTGATCGAGGCATCCTTTGGACCTTCAACGTATCGGCTTTTTTTTTCCTTGTCGAAGCGAGGATCGGAGAGATTACATCTTTTTCGTATTCGACGAGTCTCTCGCAATAAATGCAACGAGTCTTTATCCACGTGGCAATTCCGATACATTAATCGCGAACAGATAGAAATTATTCTATTATATAATTATTACATATTTATGAAATAAAATATATAATAAATATATAATCGTATTTAAGAATTGCTATATATTTACGAAACAAAACTTTTGCCGTACCAAATAGCAGATCTGTCAAAGTGAGAAGTAAAAATTTCAAGCCAGCAAACGAGATGTTTCTCTACCAAGTAGCAATTTGTCCTTTTCCATAATTTAAGATTACAAAATCAATTCATACTAATCGATTTATGTAACATAAGCAATGACACATTTTCAATTTAACCTGAAAATTATGTAATCGTGGGAGTGGCATTTCGAAGGCATTTTATGAAAGTTTTCTGAAATTTTACCAAACATTTCACTATGTGTGGTAAACTTTCAAAAACTCTCATGCCACGTTGTCCCACGATCACATGATTTTCAGGATACATTTTAAGGAAAAGCTCTCCCCGCGTAAGATATTGCAACGTCGGAGAGATGACGTTTATCGAAGTCTTTTCTTATCTCGACCACTGTCTTTCTAATCGCGAAATTAATTTGCGGTGCAACAGGGCGCGCCGTTTAACAAACGGTTGACGGTGCGATCCCGTCCGACATGTAACGGTAAATCTCTCGAATCGCCCGTACGCGCACTCCATTACAGTCTGACATAGTGGACATCGGATAAGCTCGTCGATCCTCGCCTAGACAGCAAACACGAGCCGCAACTGACGGATGCGTTTAGGTGACTCCGCGAGCTCGCCGATTTCTCGAACACGTCGATAGAACGATATGAAAATGAGCCGACCGCGCGTCGTACCACGATGGAATGGTGGTCAATAAAATAACACTGCAGTCCACACCACGTAACAATATCCAAATATATGCACACATATATAGGGTGTCCCAGCTGCCCCATATTCTTGTTTTATCTACGAATTTCTCGACCAATTTGGAGTAGGTCTCTCCGAGAATTTCGTAACACCGACAGATTTCGAGTTATTAAAAAAAGAGAAGGAAGCACCAAGGAAGCGCGCAATTCACTCTCCTCGTTCAATTGTGATTTTTATTCGAGGGATAAATTAATTTGCAAGAGGATATTCATTCGAATGAAAAAAAAAGAAGACAGGATCAACTCCAAATTGGTTAAGAAACACACGGCAGGGAATGCAGAGTATCCGGCGCACCCTGTATACATGCGTAGACGGATGAATATAAATATACGTAAATATATCACGTGTGACGTCCAAGATTAGCGCATCGCAGGAACGATTACGGGTGATCAAGGAGGCATTCTTTGACAAAGAGAACACAAAATGGAAAAACGAGCTAAAGGATAACGTTAGAGTAGACCGATGATGAGCAAGTATTCTCGAGACTAAATGCTTGGAGACTGCGGTTCTCGTGCTCTGGTTGCGTTGCGGTAATGCGGCACCTTAAAGCCGTCATAGGTCCAGGAGCCTAACTTCAAAACACAGGTCTGTACGTCGTACGGAAAGAACTCAACGTCGATGGAGCAGGAGGATTTATATACGGCCGGCGGTTGCCACACGACCAATCCCGAATAGTAGACCGTGGCCTTGGTCATCAGCGTCACCTCGTAGTTCCCGTCGGCGCTGGAATCACCGAAGAAACGAGCCGAGCGTGATCACGATTGGCTCGGAGAGAAGGTCTCCGGATGCTGCCATCCCTTTCCCTATCTCCCTTTCCCTCACCCTTTCTCCCTATCTCACTATCCTTCTGTCTCTTTCGATATCCGACTTCACACAAAGTATCGACAAAGTGAATCTTGCTCACGTTCGCACGGTTATCGTACTTTCGCTGCTTCGCGAGAACGTTTCTTTCGATTGTCCAGAAGAGACTTCGAAACGGAAAACCGATACGTCGACTGATTGTGAGTCGCGGGATCGATAGCTTCGGAAGTGTTGCGGATTCGCGTTTCAGTCTCACTCGAGAAAGAGAGAGAGAGAGAGAAAGAGACACACTGGTAACTGACAATTAACTGTACTGTACAAATAAAAATTGAACGCTTTCTTTTTTAAAGGCCGGATTTTCAGAGATAAAAAGAAAAAGAGATCTTGTCGATCGGCGAGGAATACCCGACCGGATATCATCATCTCGCGCTTGTTCCACGACGAGCTCACTGCCTGGCACAATAAATATGAGCATATCGTCTCAGGCTATATGGCAGCATCCGTCTTCTGGGGGGTGGTTATCGGAACTCGTATATTCTCCCTCTCGATCGCCGGAGACCCGCGCGACGAGCCAATCGTCTGTGATCTAGTCTACGCTTAGGATCTATTTGATCGCCGTCCCGGAGACGCATCCCGTACGGAGCCCCGTGTCGGATCCGCGTCTCGGACATTCGGCAGGCTAATTGGGGGGGGGGGGGTTCAGTTAATCGTTCGGGGGCTCGTGGGGGCGAGGGGGGGGGGCGGGGTCTGGTCGGGGAGGGACACGACTTAACGGCTACCATGCGAATTTACCTTGAAGCCGTCATAGGTCCACGAACCGAACTTGAGGACGCAGGTCTGCTCGTCGAATGGGAAGTACTCCACGTCGATCTCGCAGGATGACTTATATATGGCCGGCGGCTTCCACTCGACCAATCCTTGATGGTAGATCGTGGCCTTCGTGGCCAAGGTCACCTCGAAGTTGCCGTCCGCGCTGCGAGCGAGCACATTAGTGGTTCTGGGCGCTGCGGCGGTCGAGCTTACTTTGTACTTCCGATTCGATACCAAGCCGTCTTTTTTTGTTTTTTTTTCTTTTTTAAAAATTCATTTCTGTACGTGTGTGCATGTGTATACGTGTGCGTTTTAACATGATTAACAGTATCCTCTAAGTAGACAGACAGAGATCTTACTTGGACGTGGAAAATTTGTTAGCCTTTTCCGGAGACGCTCGATCGGCGATCGAGGATAAAATGGATCCGCGCGAACGACAGTGATATTTTCGAGAACCGCGCGCAATTTCAACTCGAATGTAGGAATTATCTGGCTCGAGGCGTTCGTGCAAAATCGGATTGGATTATCGCGCAGGCTCTTATTTCGATCCACTAAGTCTGAAGGCTGAGGGTACGTCGATAATCTGGCTTTGCAACTAATTAATAATAGAAGCCCAGTAATTTGTTGTTTCTTTCTATCCCAGGCGTTATCCTAACCGTGATTTGGATAGAGAAAGAAAGTTTACGTGCTAATAAATATTTCTATCGATGTCTCCGGCTTATTACCTTACGTCGACCAAGTGCATGTGCAAAATTAATGATTAATGGAATTTGGAAAACGACTGTTTCCCTTTGAGATAAAAATTTGCAAAGACTCATTATCCTGATGAACCGATAACAGCTACGATAGACTATGTCCGTCATTATCGAATTATCTCACACTCAACCACTCGACCCTATATTTGTGAAATTGGATGGCTTAGTAAAGTTTCTAAATTGAAGAACCAGCGGATGCTGGCCCGATATAGCAGAGATATATAGATATCCGTAGTCGATAGCAACCCGTTTACTGTCGAGGGTCGCATCGGCCACGTGGGATCGCGAAGTAAACTAAGCGCGGATGGTCGAGTTTCCCGGAGTCGAAGAGAGAATCCGGAGGTACTAAGTCATCGTGGATGACTGTGGTGCACCGGGATTATTTTGCTATCGGCTTCCTTTCGTCTCTCGCGAACTATCTTCGGATCCGAAAGTTACGATCGAGTCAAGAAAGTCTAGATCACTAACTCGAGTTTCTAAGCCGGTAAAGAGAGAGGACAGAATCGTCGCGAATTGCGAGAATGCATTTTACTCCGGCCTTAAACTGAGAAAACTTCTTTTATTACAATATGCGTATCGAGAAATGATCATTTTTATTTGTCTATTAGCAGTTTATTTAACGTAGCCGTGTCGTAAATAAAATTTCTTGCAACGCAACTGTACGTCAATTGAGTGTTTCAAAGTTTATAATAAAAGTCGAACTAAAAAGAAACGATTGAACAAAATTTTTTTATACAATATTAATCTTCCCACGCGTATAAAATACACGAAAATGAAAAACAACTGAATTCTATTTTCTTTTTCTTTCAGGTATTTTCGTAATCACTTGAGTATAATAAAAGTACAAAAAATTTTTCGAAGTACAAGTCTTATTTAAATTTTATTTAAATTTTGTTCAATTTTCTTGTTTCCACGGACACGGAGTGACGATAAGTCAACCTTTTCACTCTGCTCAACTTTCCGGTAATACGATTTTGTGTAAAGACAGCTTTGATTGCATTGACCGTCACCGTATTGGCAGGATATTTCCCGATCTCGAATGCGTCGCCAGGCTCTCGCCCATATAACTCCCCGGGGAAACGTGAATTGCATTAATAATCCAACCGAAACCTGCCTTGGCGAACAGTTTACCCGACTTATCCACCATGTGGGCACGGAACTTTGTTGGGTATTTGACGTAAACCAAACAGGCGTGTGTTCATTCGTACGAAGGGAATGAATGCAGAAATCGCGTTGCTTTACGTTCGCGCAATCCTGGCCCGAGCGTTCCAATCTTTAGTGTAAATACGAGCGTCCACTTGGCAGATATTAGCCGAGTTAGACTCACACGGTATACACGGATATTGCAATGAAGACCGAGGAAAGACACTCGCAGTACTGGACGTGTCACGAGTGACGAATCAATGTTTCATTAATAAATGTTGCTTATCAATTTTAAGCGCAGTATCACATTACATTTATCGAAAGTGTTATCCACCTTCCTTTCTCGTTTCTAGACATTCGTATGAAATTTAAAAATTCGCTCCGTTTTATTGTACAAGGGACCAGTTTGTCATTGTAGCTATCACGTCTGATACATTTTAGTTCGCCCTGCGCCCGGGAAAGATGCACTCGGTCCGCGCACGAGGATATATTTCTTCTCTCCTTCCGCATCATTCGTATGAGGTATCACAGATCTACGTGCAAATGCACAGATGCTTCCCCATCCTACGTGTCTCGAATTTCAGTCGGAAAGCGCAGCCGGGTTTTTCCCCTTTACACGGCGCGTGGTCCGAAACGGCGACGTCGCGGGAGAGACCGAGGGGCAAGCTCGCTCGTAAAGCTCGCGCGAAGAGTCTTAACCGACCTGTCCCTCGCATGATTGAGCTACATCATCGAGAGGAACACCCGATTCTCACACGAGTCCTCGAGAGGTAAGGGTCAATCGTCAGGCACGATCTAATGGGATACGTCATTTCGCGAGACACGAATGTGGCGTGTGGCCATTGTTGCGCGAATCCCTCACTTACCGAAATCAATTTACGACCCGGTGGAGATTCACAGAGCTATCGATTTGTCTGACGGCTGTTTGAGAGACGTGAAAAGGACGATCGCGTCATTATGCGGAAGAGCAGATATATTGTTCCTGGTGGTGCAATTTGATAAGCTTTTGTACTGCCGTACTGATATCCAGATCTAGAACGACTGGTCTTTTAAATCGATTATTGTTTTGAATAAAAATTTCACGAGTCAAATTTTTTTAGGCTTTTCCAAAATTGTACTAATTATACAGGGTGTACTAAAACCACCGGATATCCTTTTGATCGCAGATTCGTTAGAAAATTTCAAGAGGAAAATTCTAATAAAAAAATATCGAGGCTATGATAGTTTTTAAATAATAAGCGATTATACTTCACAAATGACAGGTCTGAGATTTCGCGCGCTCAGGCGACATGACGAGTGATAAAAGTGTTCCTATGTGTTTCGCGAGCGAGCGAGAACCAAAGTCACCGTTTAACGGGACAGAAAATATTTGGGAAGACGATGATCCGGTTATTTTGAAAACTTGAGGACAAAGAGAGGCAGGAGACTAGATTGAATCTAACTGAAAATTCCAAGTTCACTCAGAATATCGGAGACCGACTAAATCGAAGGATATCAGTCTGATCAAGATGCTCATCATAGTAAACCCCTCCCTTTCATTAATTAGACGCTACACAAAGTTAACAAAAGAAATGGTTAAAGATAACAAGAGGAACAATTAATTCGAGAATGAATCGTTAAGTCTGTCGTGAAAGTTGTCACTATGCTAAAAAGGGCGATATTCGTAGGAACACCTTTATCACTTGTCGTGTCGCCGTACCTGAGCGCGCGAAATCTCAGGCCTGTCATTTGTGAAATGTAATCGCTTATTATTTAAAAGCTATTATACCCTCGACATTTTTGTATTAGAATTTTTGTCTTGAAAGTTTCGAAAGAATTTATGATTAAAAGGATATCCGGTGGTTTTAGTACACCCTGTATATTTATAATACAATTATTTCATGTGGGCACGATAATACCGCGCACGAATTTTCTAATGTTGATATAAATTATCGAGCTGCGTATGATCCTTACTTTTAATTTTCTGCTTGAAATCTCGAGGGTGGTTAAACCGATTGCAATCGACACGCTGTACAACCATTTGTTCAAGATCAAAAACGATAGATTCCAATTCTTGTTAATTCGGATCAAGTGCCACTGCACATTTCGATTTCGAGCCTAGCGTTATTCCGCCGCGCTTGGGCAATTTGCATACGCCCGTCTGTCTTCCTCTATCTCGAGGTTCAAACGTGAAATCGCAATTTCCTGCAGCGAGAGCCCCCAATGATTCTCGATGAAGGTTCACGTGAGAACGTGTGTGCCGCGGTGAAAGCCTTTTTCGAGGTGCGCTCGTGAAAATAGCGCTTCTCGCGTTACCTATCAGCCGCAAAGTGATATGATACCGCGCGCGTTAGATATGTGATATATTATATACCGAATGCCCCAGATTCTTTTCCTTTTAATGGCAGATGCTTGAGCTTCAAGTAAGAAGGATGAGAAATAGCCATTTCAGCATGAGGGAATATAGACAGTCTTTTAGTTTAAGCTTTCGATAAATTGAACAATTTAAAAGTGTGCAGTAAATAATCAAATATTATGATTATAAAAAAAAACATAATAGCAATATAGCTTGGCAGTTATAGAGCAGTTATTGCTATGCTAGCCGAAATTGAATATAAACTTAATAAACGTGATCATATCAAATTACCAAGAATGTAATGCAAACAGTAGAATGTTATTTAATAAGATACTTAATGCTAAAAGGTAAAGTTACGAAAGAGAATAAGCTGCGATTCGTTAAACGATGTTTTCAAAAAGAGCGAGTGAAATTGCAATTATTCGCATGCAAAAAAAAATAAAAACTGTCTCGTGGATAAACTGTTCATTTCCGTTTTGGTGTTAAGAGATGCTCACGGAGCTCACCTGTTAGCGTGAAACTCATTCAGCCTAAAACGCTTCCACGGCGTGTCGATGCGCCGTCCTCATTTTCCGGTGCGCCGGAAACGACGGGGAAAAAAACTCGCGTATCGCACACGGGAAATAATCGACGAATCGAAACGAGTCGTAGCGGGGGGAGAGGAGCGTCGACGGTAAAATGAAAAATTGCTTGTACCGGGGGGCAGTCTGTCGAGGTCTCCATTATCAGGAAAGGTGCAGGCACCGATATTTCATGGAATTAACCGGCGGCGGCCAGATACAGCGGCTCCGACGCCACTGAAAAATAGCCTCGCCCTTACCGTTTCCGCCGGAAAGCAGCGCGTTCTGACGTACAACTGGGAAAATTCTATCGAGAACCGCCCAACGGAATTCCGGTGTTGTGTAACGATCGTAGATAAGCTCGGAGATT